GGAAGGATTGTATTATTTTATGTTTGGATAATTAAGGTAAAAGGAAGGGAAGGAAGGAAAAGATTTAAATTAATTTTAAATTTATAAATTTATCCTTTAAACTTGTAATGAAGAAAGATATAATAAAAAAATTAAGGTTAATTTTGTAATTACATTTAACTTAATATAAACAGTCACTCAAATCCCTTCCAAACCCCCCGAATCGGACGGATTGCAAATCTGCAGATTTGAGGTGGTTGGAGGGGGTCCGAATCAGTCCATCTCCCTCCCCCTCTGCCTTTTTGGAAACCCAAACAGAAGGAAGGAGATAGCCCCCCTCGCTCCCCCTCCCTTGCCATCCGTCCCCATCCCTTCCCTTTCCTCTCCGTCCGACACCTTCAATCCAAACAATACCTAAGTTTTGCTTGTATGAAGCAATTCTGCCGTTATTATCCAGGCCTAGGTGTTTGGCTGAAACCAGCGAAGCAAACATGGTTATAGTATAGTTACAAAAAGTTGGCAATAATCGAGTTAGAAAAGGTTTTGAAGAACAAGTTCATGAACTAATTAGTTTTAAAAAATATTAATTAAAATAAGATGTTTTTGGAGATATCCTCCACAATGATACGTTCTACTAAACATTATAAAAGGATCTTACCAATATAATCAGGCAATAGAAGACCATCCGAGAATCTTCCAGGGGCAACTTGCTGGAGGTCAAGTGATTTCCCATGTGGTTGGCCTTTAGATGGAAGACAAAGTTCTTCATTACCGTAGCCAACATCAAAGAATGAGTCGCCGAAAACGATCAAGAGGGTGGACTTTTTAGATTCGGTGCAGATTCCTCCGTGAACTGCGGAATTGAAAGGGTTCGCCGTGGCAAACAGAGTTAAGAAAAGGAGAGGAATTGAATAGCCTAACATTACTCCCATGACTGAGATCTAATTCAAAGCTGCACTTCTTTGTGGTTTGGACGCACTTCTCCCAACCGTCTTTTATAATGCTCACAGATGCCCTTCAACGCCTTTGTAACACGTTTTTCTTATTTTATTTTTGGGTAAAAACGTGTTTTCTTACCTTACTACTTTTCAAAGGCTTAGTTTAATAATGCTACTTACATTATTTTTTTTATTGATATTTACATAATTTTTTATAATTTATGTGTCTAATAAATTATCTATCTTTATTTTTTTGAAAGCAATACAAAAGTCATCTTATTCAAAATTAATAAAATTCCAAAATAATTTAATAAAATTCCTAAATATTTTTTTGTACATTATATATTAAATTATTAATTATTAATTTTCAATAATAATGTGTCTAATTAAGTAATTTTACAATAAATAATTTTTTGAAATTTAATTACCAAATATTAAAATGTTTTTTGTGACAGTATAACACATCACTTTTAACAATTACAAACATAGGGCAGCACCGGATGGTGTTGTCAAATTAAGCCAAAGAAATGTTTAGAGGGGCCATCTGAACTGTGAAGTTGGTGTGTACCTACATCATTAACAAAACTATCTTTCCCTCTTGGGAAGCAGCCAGATAGGCTACCTACAGCTACCAACTTTCTCTTCATCAAACCACCTCAAGCTTCAAGGTGATGTTCATTTTTTAAAATTTCACTTCAAATCTTTTTATGCTCAAATGAGTATCTAATCATAACAATTAAAAAAAGATGAAGAGAGACACAAAAAAGGGAAAGCAAAAATGTATTGAACTCTGGATGGGTGGGAATGAAGTAAGACTCTAAGCTTTTTTTAAGTCTTCTTTCTCTTTAAACATTGAGAATCCATTGATTCACATTTACTAAGAAGCGGGCACTAGCTTGGAAAGCAAGAAAGAACAAAGGAAAGAGATGAGAGTGAAATAGAAGGTCCATTCTAGAGACACATTAAGATAAATGTGCAATTAGAGCCATTTTGGCTGGTTTCTTCAATCCTTTTCTTTCATGTCCTAGCCCACTAATCAAAATCAGTTTCCTTCACCTTGAAAATTTTGTTGTTTTGTACATATACTCTAATTAAAAAGCTGTATGCTATTTGTCTTCATCATAAATGATTAAGCTTTGAATTAAAAGAAAGAAAAGGAAAGAGTCACACATTAAAGAACTAGT